CACCTGGACTCCATCACAACACAGAAGGCACCCAGGGAGGGGGAGCCAATGCTGGATCCAAGCCTGCACCCTGCAACCCAAGCCACCAGCCATGGGCACCTGTGACGACTGAGCATTTGCAGTATGGCTGGTCTGAAAGGGGGTGAGCTATAAATTAGTGTAAAGGACACAATGAGTCCGAAGACTTACTATTAGGAAAAGGGAGGTAAAATATCTCACGAATCGTTTTTATGTTGATAAGGTTTTGAAAGGATAGTAGCTTGGATAAGAGTATTTAAAATTTAAGAAGTGTATTAAAATTAATTTCACCTGTTTCATTTTACTTTTTAATGTGGCTACTGGAACATCTAAAATGACATACACAGGCATCATTCCTAACTCGCGTGCCAGCTCTGTTGGGCAGTGCTGGTCCAAACAAAGTACAACTATGTGCTTTTAAAACTTCTTTGGAAAGAGGGAGCAAACACCAGTGGTTTCTGCATTAGCCCCACTTTTATGTTATCTGTGACACAGTTTCAATTTATTAAGCTGGATAGGGGTTGTAAGATTCAGCACTTTAAGGGAGCTGAGGTTTCTGGAGACGTCCTGGAGCTATTGTGTAATTCATACTCCCTCCTTAGTGGTTCCCACCAGCAAGGCAACTCCTTGGAACCCACCAGGAAAGCTGATAGGCACAAACCAAGCCAAGGTGGTTTCACGCGCATGCTTCGGTGCTTTGTTCTTGTTCTGGTTTGGTTTTGTTTTGTTTTCTTGTGGGAAGTCACGTATTTTATTCATCAATTTTGGGCAATCTGAAATGGCCGTCTTCCCCCTCCACCCCGACCAGTGATTCCAAGGTGATATAAGAACTGCTGATAAGTCAGAACAGAAGTCACATAATTGTCTTGCGGATCCCACCTTCGCCAGGTAGAGAGTTGGCCATGGTCCTGGTGGCAGGGGAGCCAAGAGTCTCCACCATCCCATTTCAGACTCTTCCCTCAGGACCGCCCTAGCAGCACCCAGCTAGATGTGAAGTGCCCTGACCAGACCAGCCGCCAGATACTTTGACTATCACCCCCCAGATCCTTCAGACCGTGGCAGTACCAACCTAGCGCCCCTAACAGTAGGCTCCCCTCTGATTATGGTGCCCAATGCCATTTCTTCAAACACTGCTCTTCTGAAGCCCCATCTTAAAGGATGGGGTCCCCAAACGGAGAGGATCCTCAACAGCAAGGTTGTCATGGGTCCCGTTCCCATCTTTATAGGTGCTATAGGTCACTCGCCTCATCCAGCCTCGATCTCACCCCAGGGTTCTCCCCATGAATTCCGAACGATGCCGTACTCAGTGCCATGGCTGACAAGCCAGCGGGCCACAGAAATGACATGGTTTATGTCCCAGTACGCCCCGTAGACGCCCCCTGTATAGTTAGCCATTACACAGCAGCTGACCGGGCCCTTGGCGAGGTTTTCTGCCACCGTCTTCTCCCCTCCGAGAGGGAGCCGGGGCTTTCCAGAGGGCGGAGCTGTGAGGGCATGGCACTGTGAGTTCATGCATGGTCCATACTGCTTCAGCTTGTCCTTCTCCTGGTCCTTGGCCTGGAGTTGGTGCAGGTCTTGCCGCCCCGAGCTTGCGGGCTGGTCGTTGCCCACCCCGCTGGCGGGAGCCCGTGCGCACAGGGTGGGGGCCACGCCCCCTTCCTCTGGCTGTTGGCCCCCTCCGCTGTGGGGCCGCTGCTGGCCTGGGGCCCGCAGGAGCCGCAGTCCTGGCGATGGGCTGGTTCCCGGGGCACACACTGACCCCATTCGCCCCGCGCCAGTCCCAGCTCTTGGGCAGATCCCATGAGGACAGGTACTCATGAGGCCCGGGGTATGAGTGGCGGGGCCCTGCAGGGCCAGTGGCGGCTCGGCCCTGGCCGGAAGAGCAGCGGCAGCGGCGGGCTCCCTGCCGTGGCTCCCCGCCGTGGCTCCGGGACCTGCTCGGTAAAGCCTCTGCTTGTTTCTTCAGTTCAGTGGTTCTCGAAGGGTACAGAGCGTCAGAATCACCTGGGAAGTCTGTGTTCCAGGAATCTTTTTTTTCCCCATTAATATTAATTTTTAAAGTAGGTTCCGCGCCTAGCAGGGAGCCCAGTGCGGGGCCTGAGCTCAGGAACCTGAGATCAGGACCTGAGCTGATATCAAGAGTTGGCCGCTTTAACTGTCAGAATCTGTGTTTTTTTTTAAAGCAGCCTACATTTAAAAAAAAAAAAAAAAAAGCAGCCTAGGTATATCCTCATGCAGGGGCCTGAACACCTTCTGAGAAGCCCTCCCAGCCATTCTGACTGAAAGACTCACCCGAGGGTATTTGGCAAATATGCAGACTCCCAGGCCCCTCCCAGACCCCAGGACCGGAAAGTCCAAGAGAGAGACTTGGGGAATTTGGGAAACCTTGTCTTAAAGTGATGGTTCTCAGTCCCCGCTGTGCAGGAGATTCAGCAGGGGGCTCAAAAAGCCTGAGGCCTGGGTCACACCCCAGGACAATCACATCAGACTCCCTGGGGGTTGGGACCCAGATGTCTGTTGTTTTTTAAAGTTTGTCAGCCGGTTTCAATTTACACAATTTACAGCCGCCGCGGGCTTCAATGAGAAGCATGGGTTTGGTCCTAGTAAATCAGCCCATCTCCTTTCTCCTTATATAGAGCAAAGTACATCCTTTCATAGCTCCCAAGCGCCCAGAATAAAATGTCTAAGCACAAAGTCCACACTGTGTCACTTCCTAAACTGTTGAGTACCTTTTTCTAGTCTGAGAAGGGTTCTTTCTAGATTGTGCTCCCTGCCCCTCCAGGCTGGCTGTTAACTTTCTTGCAGTTGTTCGTGCTGTGCCGGTGTGAAAGACTTCATTAACCCTCTCTGCTGCATCGGACGCGCCCCCTCCCCAAATAACTCCTAAACCCACTGCAGAAACCACAGGTGCGGGCCCCTAGATCCAGGTCCCAAGCCCCTGCTCTCAGACCTCTTTGGATGGCACTACATTTTCTTTTAAGGGAGAAAGGCCTGCTGCTGTCTTTGCTCCCCGCCTGGGGCCTCTTCCCTTCCAGAAACGGTAACAACCTGCTTTTTAAAGGGGCCACCCTGACCTTATTCCTTCTGCACAATTTAAAGATGGAGATTTAAAAAGAAACATTTTTCTTGACACTTGAGATTCCTTCCACTTGGCCTCCACTGCATCTTGTATGAACTTTATAGTAATTATCTTATTGAATTATAATAATTTGGTCTATGCATGAACATCTCCCACCCAGACTGTAAACTTCTTGAGGTACAAAGATGGGTCTTACTCGTCTTTGTGCCCAAAGTAGCTAATAGAAAGCCTGGCACATAGTGAATTCTTGCTAAGTGTTGAAAAGAACTCAATGTATAAATGAGGTACTATATTTTGGGTTGCTGACCCATCCAGAATCCCTTTTCCCCTGGTCACCATCAAACAACAGTGGCCAGTGAGAAGTAAGCAGAAATCCTCTGGGGAGGGCCACCAGGAGGGTCTTTGAGATACAGACTGGGCTGGCCTGCTCTCCTCACACTGTACCCCTTCCTACTTTTTTTTTTCCCCTTCTTCCTGCCTGGAACTTAAAGGTAAAGCCTGGAGGTATATAGCAGACATATTGTAATCATGAGGTGAACAAAAAGAGGACAAAACCAGCCCTGGACCGCCTGCCCACCTCTGCACTTCTTGTTATGGGAGAGAAAAAAAAAAAAAAACCCACATCTGCCCCTGTGGTTTTCTGTTATTTTCAGACAAACATATTTATAACTGATATAACAAGGATGTTATTCATAAGAATGCATTTAAAGCACCTCGTATTGTTCTCAGCACATAGTAGAGACCCATTAAGTGACGATTCCACTTATTCATGCAAACAGAACCTTGAAAAAATTATTTTGGGGACAGAAGGGTCATAATCTGATAAGAACAGACTATACTCTAACTCAAGATGTGTCTGCTAATTTGAAAACAGCTTTGTTTCAGACCCTGCAGACCATATTATATGGGTCCTGGAGGTTATTTCCAAGGCTTACTTCCTCCTGTTAGAAAAAGTAGCCCGGTCGAAGCTGCAAATCAAGCCCCAGCAGCAGAAACAGCCTCCCGGTGTTACCAATTCCCTGAGTGTCGTATTTCAAGTAAATGCTTCTCCGTAAGGCGGCCTTTGCAGGAATGATGCCTGCTCCAAGGTTTGTTGGCTGGCTGGTGTGGGCTTTGGTTTTTTTCTCCAGCCTGGGCTGCCCAACTGCAGGATGCAGGAGCCCCTTGGAGGGACAGAGCTAGGAGCCACAGCGTCCTGGCCCAGGGACAAGCTGAGAGGCTCCTTCGCCTGGGGGTTCATGGTTACAAGAGGTCCACTGATAACTGCATGAAGGAAATGGATTTAGAAGGAAGAGAGATCAGCTGTCTCAGACTGAACCATGAGGGAACGCTCCAGGACCTGGTCTCTGGTTATTCTCTGTGGGATTCCCCACCTCTTCTTTAGAATTTCTGGGACTCTCTTTCAACTTTTTTATTTTTTATTTTTTAACTTGCCTCCAAGCAGCTTGACGTCCTCTCTTGAAAAGGAAGTGTTAATGCCGGCCTTTGGGGTACACAGTTTTTGCTTACTTTTAAAAGAATACAGCTGGATTTTTATCACCTTGGAATTTAAAAATGCTGAGCAATTTCAATATGCCAGGCACTGTGCTAAGTGGCCTTATGTGCCTTCGCTCATCCTTACAATCCCCCAGCTGTGTAGGTGCGGTTCTTCCATTTTATAGATGAAGAAATGGAAGCTCAAAGAGGTTAAGAACATGTCCGAGATCACACAGAGCCACAAGTCTAATCTGGGGTGTCTATGTCTGGAGCTCCCTTACCCATTCCGACATCCCCCGTCCTCTCTGCTGGGGCTTTGGACAGCCTCTTCCTCCCCGCACCACTGCCCAAGACCCTGGCCGAGGCTCCAGGCTCCCATGTCAAAGATAGCACGGAGAAGCCCGTCTTGTTTATCGAGGAGACTTACATGGAGGGGTATGTTTCGGCTTGTGTCTTCTGGATCGAAGGCCTCAACCTGGTAAATGAATCCCGGGTTTGCTCCTTCCAGTATGTACAGGTCTAGACCTAGAGCAGCATCCAAAGTGGAAGAAGGGGCATTTTATTAGATAAAGCAAATAAGGAATTACAGAATGGGGACAGCCGCACCCAGCCAAGGAGAACCAAGCGCATTGGCGTCGTGGGAAGGAGGGATGCAGGAATAAAGGCCGGGAGTTAGCCCACGGCCAGCTGGTGTGAGCGGACCGCTTATGGGAATTTATAAAGTACTTGAGTGGCCAAGCTGGGATCACATCTTCCCGCATTTCCTCCGCCAAGAGATGATCTAGGGGAGGAACCTCCGTGTGAGGCTGCTCCCTGTTCTGATTCACTTTCACGTGCAAATTCCTCCAAAACCGAGCGGAGGTCTCCTATTGAAGTGCACTTAGCATGTCGGGCTGAAAGGACTTGCAGGAGGATTCAGGAAGAGGGCTGCAGAGGCTCCGGAAGGGGACCAGAAATTGACTTCATCTCCTTCAGAGTTCTGGGAAGCCAGGGGGAACCCGGCACTTGGCACCACCAGCCCGGCCCGAGGGGCTGCCCCCCTCCACTCTGGCCTCTCTGAGAGCCCGTCCTTCTGCGGGAGGGCTGGGAATGTGCATGTCAGCTCACTCTTTGGAGCCACGGTGCTGAGGGCTTATGTTTTCTCCTTTATCGTCATAACCCCCGTGCATAGGTATCGCAATTCTTTCCACTTTACAATTGAGGAAGTTAGGAGGTCTCAGCGAGGAAGGAAGTGAGAGCATAAAACTTCAAACCCAGCCTGTCTTCGATCTGAGCTCCAGCTCTCATTCACCTTTATCATTGCTCGTGCTTTCACTCAAAACGATGTTTACTGGGTTCTCACTCGGTACCAGACACTGATCTATCCACGCACTGGGAACATAGCAGTTCACAGAACACAAAACCCCGCTCTCGCGGAGCTTGCACGATAGTGGGACAATATGGACAATAAAATAAATGAGCAAAATATGTGGACGTTACTGAGCAAGGTCCTGGAGAAAATCAGGAAATGGAGTGTTGTGGGTTGGGTTACAGTGTGAAATGGAGTGGTTGTGGAAGATTCGTGACACTTGAGTCCAGATTCTTAAAGAAATGAGGATCGTAGAGATATGGGGGAAGGGTCAAAGAGCAACTGCGGAGATGCCAGCGAGGGTGAGGGTGGTACGGGGGCCACAGCAGAGGCGGTGGGAGGAAATGTGCAGAAGAGGACACGGTGAGGGTGGGAGGGGGCCAGATTTGACGGCGCCTTAAGGAGACTCTGGCTCTCCTCTTGAGGGAGATGGGAAGTTCTTGTGGGGTTTTAAGCAGAGGAGTGCCTTGATTTGACTGACATTCAACAAGATCCTTCTGGCTGCTATGCAGAGAATAGATGGATGGAGACAAGCGCAGAGCAGGGAGGCCGGTTAGCTCACCATCGCAATAATCCAGGTGACACATGACTACGGACTTGCACCGTGGTGGTATGGATGGAGATGCCAGGGAGCGGTCAGACTGCATAGACTTGGAAGTGGCAAGATTTCCTCACGGATTTGATGTTGGGTGTGAAAGGTGGAAGAGTCAAAGCTGACTTCGAAGCTTCGAAGTAGCTAAAATGGGAAAGACAGGAGAAGCAGATTTGGCGGGGGTGGGGGGGGATGGTGGGGGCCAGGGGTGAAGTGGAAGTCAAGAGTTTGATTTGGGGGCATGTTACGTTTGAAGATGTCATGTTCTGACACCAATTCTAATGTGTGGGGGATTTTCCTGCACCACCAAGCGATCCTTTGGCACCAGCTGGGGGTTCTACAATTCAACTCAATTCTGATACTAGCTACCCAGAGACAAACTTCAGATTCCACAGACCAAGGACTGCGCCCCACGAGACACCCCCAACCCCCACTTTAGACACCAATTTCAAGTTCAGGTTGTTCCCCATGCCTCTGATCCACGAGCTATAAATCTGAGTTTCCCACCATCCCCTCTTTGGGTTCAATGAATTTGCTAGAAGGGATCACAAAACTCAGGGAAATACTTTACTTACTAGATTACTGGTTTATTACAAAAGGATATAACTCAGGAACAGGCAGATGTAAGAGACGCTTAGGGCATGATATGGGGAAAGGAGCACAGAGCTTCCACGCTCTCCGGGCATACCACCCACCCCTGGAAGAGCAAGATGGTTCATCAACCTGGAAGCTCCCCAAACCCCATCCTTCAGTGTTTTTATGGGGCTTGATTACATTGGCATGACTGATTTACATCATTGGCTATCGGCGACTGAGCACCATCTCTACCCTCCTGCCCTCCACAGAGGTAAAGGTGAGGTGGAGTGCGGGACTGAAAGTTCCAACCTTCTAATCACACGGTTGGCTCCACTGGCAACCAACCCTCACACTTAGGTGAGCTGGGAGCATTCCAAAAGTCACCTCACAAAATCCCACATGCCTATTAGACATGGCAGACAGAGATGTGGGTTAAGACAGCTGGATATTTAAGTCAGGAGCTTGGAGGAGAAGCTGGACTAAAATGACAGAGGTGGAGGTTGTCAGTATGGCTCAGTCATGAGCCTGGGAGAGACCATGCAGGAAGTTACCCTGTGCTCAGTCCTTTATATTGTCCCTGCTCTGCAGCAGACCCCAGTCACATACTGCCCTCCGGGGGCCCATGGGGAGAATGAACACGTCACTTAATGACCACAGCACACGGGGATGAGCTTCGGATGGGCTCGGCCCAGCTTCCTTCAGAATGACCCCCTCTCGAGGTTCCTCAGCCTCAGTTTCCTCCCCAGGACTGAGAGAAGCCCAAGAGAAACCACGGAAGTGAGGGGCTTTGTAAATTGTTGGGCATCATTTTGGGGAGTCCTGTGCTGGAGGACGTTTCATTTATTCCCTGCTCATTAAGCAGCTGCCTCTTCTAGGCAAACAGCTGCTTGTTTACTTACTTTTCTCTTTTGCTCTGTCCCCCAGGGTGCCCCCCGATGCCACCATCTGGGCTGCACTGCACAGCCCAGTGTATCTTACCTTTTGCCAAGTTGCCTTGGAACTGAGGCGGCTCATTCACATCTGTCACCTGGACAGTCAGGATCTGGAGGTCGGTGACACCGACATCATCCTTGACATAAATCTGCAAATCAAATATGTTTGGTCCTGTTTCAAAGTCTAGTTGTTCCGTCCCAGTGGTGACAACCTAAAAGCAAAGGCAGAATTCTTAGTAACCATGTGAAAGGAGATCTGTTTTGTATGCATGCGTTTTGCAAAGGAACATTACTAGGAAGGAAGCAACCAGCATCCTGGAAACCATCTTTCCCCCACAGTCAGAGGAACCGGTTGTATTGCCTTAGTCCTTCCAACATAAGCCCTTTTGCCAAGGGGACTCCTGTGCGTGATGCTGCTTTTCAGAGGAAAGAAAATATTTAGACGACATCCTGGTTCCATCGACTGGAGATGGAAAGCCAGGAATTAAAACCCTGTCGCTGCTTGGGGTAGGCACCTAGACAAGCCCCTTAGCAACCCTGAACGTAGTTGGGCTTCCTGGGCTTTAAGAATAAGCCACTGCTCTTTCCTGGGATTGCTGTTAAGTCACATCTTGACTCGGCACTCCATGCAAATTTTCCCAAGGCCATGACCATGAATAAACAAGGGAAGGATACATCTGCAGAAATAAGGAACAATATATACTTACATCAACAGCCGGCTCAGTGTTTTTGTGCATTTCCACACATTCTCCCGCTCGTGGAAACTTGTCTCCTGCGCTATAAGTGTTTTGGAGATGTGGGAGGGACACCAAGAACCAGGGCTAGAGAAACATCACTGGAATTGTCAGCAGGAACCCGGCTGGCCCACAATGGGAGGGTCCTGCTGAGGCTAGCTGGAGGCCAACTTGTGACCTCCTGTGCCTACATGCATACTCCGGCCACCAGCTTAGACCGCAGAGTGCCCAGAGCCCTTTGGGACCTCAAGGACTAAATTTCATAAATGTCTTAATTATGCCAATGGAAATTTTGTTTATTATTACGACTCAGGCCAGGCAGGCGTTCAGTCTCCTGTCCTTAGGAGAGCACTTAGTTCCAATCTCACTGTCACAGCTGAACTTTGGTGTGACCTTGGGAAAGTCCTTTACCTTTCCCTGATTTTGTTTCCACGTGATTATAATTAGGGAAATACTCCTTGCCCTAGTTAAAGAGCTGAAGTACAATACAGGGTCTTATAACAAAACACTAGAAGTGCTGACCCAGGCAAAGTTCATTGTGAGTTGTGTGGAGTCAGGGGAGGCTTCATAGAGGAGGCTGTGTGAGCTCTCGATTGGTTGACAGAAGACAGCCACAGATGGGAACGAGTGCATGCAGTGGAGGGAGAAAGTGTGGAGGAGGGTTGAGAGAGGAAATGAGGTAGTCTCGTCTCTGCCGGTGAGCAGTGTCAGCCTGGCACCCACATACGTGAAGATGACCTGTCTCCCATGCTTGGCATGTAGCAGGTGAGACCTCTCTGTGCGGCGCTTCCCCACCTCTAACATGCAAATAATAGCAGCACACCGCGTCGTGGTGCTGTTATGGGGATTAAATAAGTGAATTCACAAAATGTTTAGGGGGATTCCTGGCATATGGTCAATGCGCCATAAATAGGAGTTGTTATCATTAGCATCATTATTATTAACCCTTCTTACTCTCCCCGGGCCCCCAGAAGTCCCAGCAGCTGTGTTTGAAAGCAGAGAGGCCTGGTCCCTGGCATGATTCAGAGGTCACCCTCAGAAAGTCTTGTACAACTGAGTCCCAAGGCCAACAGTGACTAAACCTCTGGGCCAGAGACCCAAAAACCTCGTTGCTAGCTTTCTTCTGCAGAGTGTCAAGTCGGCCCAAGGAGGAGTCAGGTTCCGCCACGGGGATGGCACTGACCCGTTCTGTAGGCAGCAGAAGCAGCTCTTGTGAGCATTTTGGGTTGGACAATAGGACCTTTCTGGAGGGGATAGTTGATGCTATTGGGTGGTTTCTGGGGAGAAGCAACCAATGCTTCAGGACCCATGGCCGTGTGGCCCATCCTAGCACCGACACAGTGTCCAGGAGGGCACCAGGCCTGGGACAATACACTAAACACTGGAGCCTACCTCGGATGGGAGGTGCTAAGAAAGCCCCCATTTCTAGAGGTCAGACACAGGCTGGAATTCTTCCTTGACTGTCAGCCCTGTTGGAATCACATCAAACATGGAAAGAATAGGTCTTTTCACCTGATTTGGGGGCTCCCCAAACCAGCAACAGATACACAGGGCAATGTGGGAGAAAGAGCCTAGGATTGGCCATCAGAAGACCTGAGTTAAGTTCTTGCTTCATCTGTTATGGCTACGTGATCTCAGACACACCAGCTAACCTTGCTGTCTCTCTGCAATCTTAGTTCGAAAATAGGAATAAAGCCTTTTCCATGGTGGTAGCGTCAGTGTCAGTAGTGACAATCCAGAGGTCAGGATGTGAATGCGCAATGGGACCTCCGCACAATTGCCATCATCATCATCGAAGGCAGTAGACTCTAGAGGCTGAGGGTGAGAGCCCTCAATGGGGAACCACCCCGATGTCTGTCAGCTGCTGAGCAGAGAGACAAACTGTGGTCTGTCCATACGGTGGAATATGACTCAGCCACGAAAAGGAAGAAGTTGTTGACCCAGGCTTAAAGGAAACTAGCCAGTCACTAAAGACCACGCACAATGTGAATCCATTCATAGACGATGCCCAGGATAGGCAAATCCATTAAGGCAGAAGAAAGGAGATAAGGGGGTGCCAGGGACTGGGGGAAATAGGGAAAGTGTCCTAAAAGTAGATAGTGGTGATGGTCTGTGAATGCAGTAAAAACCACCGAATTGTACATTTTCAATGGGTGAATTGCACGCTGTATGAATTATACTGTTCCCCAAAATAGGCAGAGGTCTGAAGTCAGACTGCCTGGGTTCCAGGTTCAGCTCAACCCCCGAAGAGCTGCGCAACCCAGGGCAAGTTATTTAACGAGTTTTGCTTCAGTTTCCTCCACCTGTGAAAAGGGGACAGTAACATAAATAAAATCAGTGGATTGTTTGAATATTACAAGAGGAAATCCGTGTGAAGTGTGCCACAGTGTCCAGCATATACTCCATGCTGTACATGTGCAAGCCTTTGGCAGGGCTTCTAGGGCCAGATGAGCAGCAGCTGTGGAAGACGAGCCAGATGTCCAGGGCCAGGGAGATAGGGCAGAGAGGAGTCACAGAACCAGCCTCTGGGCCCGGGGATTCTATGCTGGATGCTGAATGTGTGCTCCGTATGCATCAAAGAGCCTGCCCCCAGGGGTGCTGAGTATACTGCCTTCCTGAGTTCTGCTACACGTCCTGGGTTCTCCAGCTCTGCTCTGGGGCAGAACTTTTTAAGAGCTCCCCTTGGGACTCTCACGATCAGCTGTGTTTAAGAACACCTAGTATGTACCTCAAGGAGGCAACCGAGCCTCGACGAAGCAGGCTGAGTCCACGGGGTTCCACCACATCCGCAGGGCGATGACAGGCGGGACCCGAGTCAGGGCTAATGTTAATTGCCAGAGGTTCCTATGCCAGTTGAGGGAAGGGCAGGGGTGGGGAGGGTTCAGACACCTGGACCCTAAAGTCATCCCTAGAAGGGTCTCTGAAGGTACCAGTGGAAAACACGCAGGTAGGTTTGTCCTACCTAAGGAGGAGCACCAACTTTGGAAAAGACTAACATGACAAACTAGAAAAGAGAGCAGGGGTGTAATAGCTCCTGAATGTGAATGACGGGGTCTGAATTATCCAAGAGGAATCATTCATGCAGCACTGCTGGACATTCAGGCTCGTATTTTTATGAAAGGTATGTTCTTCCATATTAAATAAGTCTCCTCATAAATTTCCTCCTGGAAAATCACAGAATTCGAGAAAAGCAGAATCACCTGACACAAGTTCATCAGGGCCTGGCTTTTGAGGAGATGAATGCCCACACTATGCCACCCAAAGGATTTAGATACTGTCAACACACACGTAACACCCGATGTCATGTGAGGGTGGGTGGCAATGAGAAACAGGACTTCTATTTGTAACAATTTGAGCCTATTGCCCATTGCACTGGATTTAGTGGAGAAAGAAGGTCCAAAGTGTTTAGGGGCCTCTCGCATAGAGGGCTCTCGGATGCCCCAGGTGGGCTTTCTGGGTCTTACTAGAGGGGATAGTGAGCCAGGGAAAGAGAAGGAAATGGTCAGCGATCTAGAATCCCATCCACCCTCATCTTCAGGACTCCTCTCTGTGGACAACTCCCAAGTGAGATGTGCTTACCTCAAAGTCAGTGTCTGACAGCCAGTTCACTTTGAAGGCATCAGTGAGGGGGCTTGTGTTGATAATCAGGGGCCACCCTGGGATCACAGGCGACAGCGAGGCTGATAAGTTCACAGAAAACTTGTGCACTGGAGTCTCAGGTGGAGAATTCTCGGCCACGGTGGTTGTAGCAGGCAAGTGGACTAGGTGTAGCACTTCTCTCCCTGCGGGTTTAACAAGGATGCAAAATGGCCTGAACAGAAAGCCTTGTGCTGGGAACAAGGACTTAACAGCTTGGTCTGTGGCTTCAACCCATAGCTCGGAGCTCTGATGGAACCTGGTCACTCCCCAAGAACAAATACTCTTGCCAAGGACTGGAGATGGAAATACGAGATCTTCTGGGAGCCAAGAAAACAACCACCACCAAACAGCCATGAAATCTGCTTCTGTCATTCTGTAAATCAAGCCGCTGCTTTTCTCTTGTCTCCCTGTACCCCTTCTCTCTTCTCGCAGCCTTTGTGAAGAGCTAAGGAAAGACAGATGTGATGCCTCAGGAGGCAGACGTCCACTTTGAAGGACTACGTCCGGCCATGACATCCTGTCTTACAAGACCCGGGGAGTTTACAGGAGTTTATTTTCCTTGTCTGTGTCAGTGTTAGATTCAGAGGTCATCAAAAACTGAGCATGCATGACCGCCAAGCTCCAAAATCATGGTAGATTTCCCCGCATCCGTAAGTAATCTCAAGGACAACTGCTTGTCATTATGGGATGCTGGGGGGTGTCATGATGCCCAGGGTCCATCAGTACATCTTCATTGATAGATTAACTCCCATTTCACAGGGAAGGAAATGAGAGAGACTCGGGGAAGGCATGCGCATTTCCTCGGGCTGCAACTCAGACAGGGAGTTTGACAATTTAAGAGAGAGAATGTTTCTTCCAGGAAAGCCTTGGGACATTCTTCGGTCTCCTTGATACTCTGCACGATTTTGCCGGTACAGACGAGAGCAGCAGGTCCTGTTCTTTCATGCTTCCATAGTGATGGTTACTCTAGGGGGGGCGAGAAGTGTCCCCCCCCAAAATAAAATCCATGTTCACTCAGAACCTCAGAATGTACCTTATATGGAAACAGAGTCTTTGCAGATGAGTTGGTTAAGAGGAGGTCATTGTGGATTGGGGTGGGCCCTAATCCACCAGATGGAGTCCTTCTAAGAGGACAGGGCATGGAGACACACACACAGGAGGAAGAAAGCCATGTTATGATAGAGACAGAAGTTAAACTGATGCAGCTAGAAGCCCAGGAACAGCAAGCAACCACCAAAAGCTAGGAAGTCCATGCAGAACAGATCTCCCTCAGAGTTTCTAGAAGGAACCAACCCTGTCAACACCACGACTTCAGACCCCAGATCTCCTGAACTATGAGAGAATACATTTCTGTCGCTCACAGCCATCCAGTTTGTGGTAGCTCATTATGGCAGCTCTAGGAAGTCAATGCAAAGACCATTTATCCCATGTTCCAAATAAGTGCGCAATGTAAAATCCTTTCTCTCACTCACTCCCCAAAACGGGGAGGGTAGGTGTTAGTGCCACTATTTTACAGATGAGGAAAGGGAGCTAAATAATAATAGTAAGTAACAAAACCAAAATTTATACTGAAGTCCTACTTCTTAGTTGGCTTCCTGATCTTTGCCACTTTCGCCCTTGGGGACAAGCCCCTGGGAATGGGAGGGAGGTAACTGTCCTACCAAAAGGTGTAGAACTTCTGGAGACAAACAAGCCATGGGAAGGGCTGGCTTTTGTAAGAGAATGTTTTTATTTCAGATTTGGGGGCAGGGATGTGGAGAAGTGAATGCAAATGTAGGAAAAATTGAAATATAAACACATTGGTACAAGCTTTCATAAATCTAAAGTCATCTTATTTCAGTTAGAGACTAAAGTTCATTATGCATAAGTTATTTTTGCTCCCAGAATTTTCCAGTTTCATGGACACAGACGGAGCAAGGGCTCAGAAATAAAAAAGCAGCTGAGGTTTGGGGTGACATGGATATGAATAGATTTTTTTTTAATCTTTTAAAATTGACTTTAATATTATGGCATTCTCGTGATAAAAATCGGGAGCCAAATAGTAAGCTATTTAGAGGCAAAAAAAAAAAGAAAAAATTCTCCCAAATAGTTTTTTTAAAATGAGCAAATTAATCGGTTGCTTCTGTGCTTGGTTTTTTTTTAGGCATCATTCCCTCACTCCCTCTTTTCCTGCAACCGGAAGTCACCAGGGCCCTCATGAGCTGTTCGCCCTACTGTTTCCTCTCTGTTCAGCAAGACAGGGAGAGTCATAAGCAAAATGGAAGGTTGGTAATTTCAAGGAAATCCCCACCTTCTCTTGTCCCCTCCCACTCACCCCAGTGACTCGGGCCCCTCCAGACAAGGAGGAAGGAAGCCTCTGCTCCAATTTAAGCAAAGATAGAACTCACTGGGTTTTTCTCAAGAATCGCCTGCGGTTAGGTGGGTGCCCAGCCCAGATGAACAGACCCAAACAAGTAACCACTTGCATTTACCGAGCACCTGCTCACCAGGCCTCATGCGGCTCCGCTGCCTGATCTCAGCCTTTCTGAACACAATCCCATGGTGGAGGTGTCACTGTCACCCCTCCACACGCCTGAGGTTGCACCCTCAGCGAGGGGCCGTGGTAGGCCTGGCTAACAGGTGGCACATATGTACTACAGACAGTCTGTCACCACGCACACGTAATGCCTCGTGGTCATTCTACGACCCGGTACTTCTGTGTTCGACGACCCACATGGTGCTGGGGGTCTGGTAAGACACTGGCCCCTCCACCCAGATGTTAGGTCATGGTGATACAATCTTCGAGAGGCTGTTTGGGGGAACAAGAGAAGGAATCACGCCGCAGGATTAGCTTGACGTGGGCTCGGGTGTGAGAAGCTTCCCGCAGCCTCGCCCTGAACAGGCAGGTTGCCATGACCACCAACCTGGGTGTGTCTCCTTCTAGGAACGGAGAAGGCTAGCCAAGCCATGCTCTTCCAACATCCCCTGCTGGGAGCTCCTCGTTTGCTCTGCTGAGAGTGTGTCCATTGATCCTGCTGCGTTCATTTTGACTTCGATAAGCCCTGGGTTCTGGAAACTAATTCTGTCCTTTGCACGGCTCCATACGTTTATAGAGCTTTTCCTCCTTATATTTATAGACCTTTTCATAGTCCTCTTTGAACGGCCGTATTTTGCATGGCAGTGAGGTTGATATGTTGAAGGCAGGAGTGGGTATATTTAGTGCCCCTCAAGCAACTTGTGTTGGGGACTGCCTGTTTCATGTATGGCTAAAAGCAGGCTACACCCTTAGATATGTCCTTTCTGCTGGCATTTTTTTTTTCTCTCTCTCTCTCTCTCTTTTTTTAAATAGGCTCAGGGGCTTGAACTCAGAACCCTGAGACCAAGACCTGAGCTGAGATCAAGAGTCGGACACTTAACAGACTGAGCCACCCGAGCAGCCCTCTGCTGACATTCTTGCTGGAGATGTTCTGCGCTTCATCCAGTGGCCTCGGTTCCCAAGGTAAGGTCACGTGCGCCAGGATCGTGCCACTGATTCCTAAAAACTTTGTGGCAGATACTCCAGGGACACTGGTAAGAAAGGTAGTCAAGCTGGGATCTCCCGACTCTTAGTTCAACAACCAGTTCCTTCAGTTCTTCTGCTATTAAAAAGGTAGTAGTAGCAATATTAATAGCCATGGTAACAATAATAACTGGTGGCTAGGGTCCATACCCTAAATATAGAGCATTTGATAAGACATGAAATCCATCAAATGTTCAACTCACTTATTATACAGATCAGTTTAAGGGATGTGCCCAGAGGTACTCAGCTAATCAGTGGCAGAGGGAAGGTTAGAAGCTGGGAATGGCTCTAGGACACTACACGCTTGCCTTCCAAGGCCGGTCTTCCAAACTTTCTCTGGTGGTCTGGGTGCTGGAGACCGAGAAAGAGGCCTTAATGGAATTTGACTTACGCATGCATCTTAATTAAGGATCAGATTAGAATTGCTTGAAGCATACACTTTGAAAAAGGAAGAGCATGCAGAAGACTTATTACCGAGCCCACTGAAACATCTTGCTTGTGGTGGAGATCTGGATGCATGATGTGCTCGCTCGTTTCAAAATGAGCAAAATCACCACCTTGCCAGAAATGGACCAACAAAGCCTCCTCCCAGGGCCTGTGTTGGAATAATTAAGGCTTCTGCAGCCTCAGTTGTGGGGGCAGAAGCTGGCCAGCCTGGGCCTCTGACACCAAAATAGTCATGTGGTTCAGGAAGCATGGGTGCTGCCACCTTGTCCCCCCAGGGATGTAGCTGCTCTCACAGTGTGACTTCAATACACAGAGCAGTCCTCGCCCAAGACTGTCACTCAATAAATTCCTTGTCATTCTCTCTAGTAACTACTAAATCGGTAGTGAGAGGGATTGGTGAGTGTTGTGAAAAGAGCACGGGATTTGCAATCAGAGCTCTTGCTTCAAGTTTGAGCTCTGTTAAGGGACCTTGGGCTGCTCAGCTTGGCCCTGTGTCAGCTCTGTCCCTCAGGGCTGTGGTGCCACACCACCAGTGGTCATTAAACAGAGTTCACTTGCTAAAGAAAGTGCCTAGGACCCGAAGGGAAAGCTTACAAATCTATGGTTTATTACAGAAGAAGGAGGTGGGTTAGCAACAACATTATAGTGTGCACCACAGCTGAAGGCTGCCTCCTAGCTTGAGGACCAGAGGGGCCAGGGGCCAGCTCCCATCATCCCCTTTTCTCCAGGGGCCATTAACAGAATACACTCGCTCAGATCAGAAACCTCCGAGGTAGCCTCGCAACCAGGCAACTCAAAATAGAGTCTCTGCTGGACATTTTTATATTTTGCTGGTCATGTAGGCACCATCTCTTTAGGTAACCAGCCTCAGTAGCAGAGCCTTCCAAGCCAGGTGCACATCATCAATGTCACTGTTATCCACGAACAATGCTTACAGGCCCCTACAAACCACCCCGAAACTCCCCGGACCCACAGCTCCAAAGCAGCACTGTTCATCAGCACACTTCTTGCCTTGACCAGAAGTCCGTTCTGGGCAGAAACTTCAGCGAAGCAATTCAGGCTCATTCTGGGCCTACTAGAATTCACTCTCATGGCACAGATACCCTACACTGAACATGCATATACTCGATAAACCATAAAACATTATAGAATGTGGTTTCATTACCTGCAGTGATCATTGATGATGATCAGTGAAAACAACAACTATTTATTGGATCCCATATATATGTGTGGCATGTGGGGACCACAGAGCAATAAGAGAACCAAACCTGTGACTACAGGGCCCACATTCCCCTCAAGGACACGCGACAGACACGTAACAAATGAATTATAGAATAACTCGTGCTACCTGTTGTTAAGCACTTATTTTGTGTAGGGCACTGTAATCAAACCTTGGCATACATTCCGCATGTAGGCAAGAGGAACTCCAGGGTGTGGCAGGAAGAGCACCCGCCAGGAGTTGGGGCAATCCAGGAAGGCTCCGTGGGGGAGGCGGGGTTTGACTTGGGTGTTGAAGGATGTAGGATGACTTAGAGCAAATGAGAGGAAAGAGGATACTGGAGTGTGTTACTTTGTTTGAGATTATTGGGTGATGCCCGCTTCCACTAGCCTGAAGGCAGCTCCTAGTGTGGCTGCCCACCCCTCCCCTTCGTGCCGGGTGACTCTGGTGTTGGAGAAGCTGGGATAAGAATCAGGTTCTCAGACTCACAAAAGAAGGTGAGAGGAAAACAATTTGCATCACAGCAGACCCTCAACAAACCAGGGTTTGCCCCATGGAAGCAAAAGCAGGGTACAGTGCATGGATTTTAGAGATGGAGGGATGTGAGTGTGGCTTTGACAAGGAATTTCAAATATTTCTTGCAAACCTTTGTGATCTGTCCCTTTCACACGTCTGATGATAAACTTCCAAATGATAATGTTCAGCATGAGACACTGGGTTCTTCCTGACCTCACTCTTCCCCCAATGGCAACAAATGTCACCCCTTAACTCAAATTATTGTGGTCTGAAAAGCCTATAATTCTGGGAAAATCTCAAATGTTTACTGCAAGGGAGAGTCTGAACTGCTCAAGACCTGGCCTCACATTCCCAGCTCCTCTTGCCCTCTGCCAGGCAGAAGACCCCAAGATTAAAGAGCGTTCAGTATTAGGAAACCCAGTCATTTATTTATTTTTTTTTAAGATTTTTTTTTTTTTATTTGACAGAGAGAGACACAGCAAGAGTGGCAGAGGGAGAAGCAGGCTTCCCGCTGAGCAGGGAGCCCGATGTGGGGCTCGATCCCAGGACCCTGGGATCATGACCTGAGCCGAAGGCAGATGCTTAACCGACTGAGCCACCCAGGTGCCCCTCCAGTCATTTATTTATGTTATTAACAGATCAAAGGGGAAAATTAAGTGGTTATTTCCATAAAACTGGAAAAAAACATTTGATTTAAAAATCCACTGTGAGGGGTGCCTGGGTGGCTCCGTCGTTAAGCGTCTGCCTTCGGCTCAGGTCATGATCCCAGGGTCGTGGGATTAGGAATCCCGCATCGGGCTCCCTGCTCGGAGGGAAGCCTGCTTCTCCCTCTCCCACTCCCCCTGCTTGTGTTCCCTCTCTCGCTATGTCTCTCACTGTCAAATAAATTTTAAAAATCTTTAAAAATAAAAAATAAAATAAAAATAAAAATCCACTGTGATTCAGAAATAAATCCCTGAAGAAAAAATAAAAGTTATCTCCTTAACATGTAAAACATTCCTGTTTCACACCAAAAGTTAACATCATGCTTAATGGGGAATAAGACAAGAGTGTACATTCTTTATCATTGTTCAAAAATAGCCTGAAGGTATGGGCCTGGTAATTAGATAAGAGAAAGAAATGCAAGATAGAAAAATAGGCAAGGAAAAGTATAAATGTTGATTATTTTCAAAAGTGGAAAATGCGGGGCGCCTGGGTGGCTCAGTCGTTGGGTGTCTGCCTTCTGCTCAGGTCATGATCCCAGGGTCCTGGGATCGAGCCCCGCATCGGGCTCCCTGCTCTGCGGGAAGCCTGCTTCTCCCTCTCCCACTCTCCCTGCTTGTGTTCCCTCTCTAGCTGTCTCTCTCTCTCTGTCAAGTAAATAAATAAAAAAATCTTAAAAAAAAAAAGTGGAAAATGCATGAGAGTCACCTGGAAAACCATGACAAATAATAAGATATGTCATTAGTAGACTTCCATCCACTGTACGACAATCAATTAAAACAGACAAGGGAAGAAAAGATGCTATTCACAAATAAGGAAAAAGAAAAGGTGAAAAAAAGAACTAGAAATAAACGTAATTGGAATGTGCAAGAGCTCTGTGAAGGAAATCCTAAAATACTCCGGAGGAAAACAAAGACTTGAACAAGTATCTAGAACTGTTGAACAGGAGGCTCAATGTCCTATGTAATAATCACTAACATTTATTAAGCATTTACCATGTACCACATACTCCTACAAGTGTGTTACTATATAACTCATCAAATATGTAAATTATCCCTAAATTAATCTGCAAATTTAACATGATTGAATTCCCTACATTATGCATATACTACCTATTAAAAAATAAGACTGAATTAAAAAAGCGCAATTTCCATAAGCTGACAACATTAAAAGGATCACCCAAGATTCTTCAAGCTCTTGAGTAAGGAAGAGGGAGTACAAGATGCACCAGGTTGAATCTTTGGTTCTTCTAACAGAAGGTGTTTTCTTTGCTCAAGAGTAAGACAATAGCCCCTTGATACCTTGGTTTTCCCATAGGATGACTTGCCAACTTCTGGTTGCCCCTAGAAGGCTCCAGAGAAAAGCCAGAATCTCCACAAAGACTGACTTGACATATACACAAAGCTCTGCTGTGAAACTCATTTTCCCAACCTTACATCTTGGAAGGACTTCTGGCACAGGCCAGTTAGCAAGGAGAGAAATTGAAGTCTGCACAGAGACCAGAGACTAGACTGTAGCTTCGTTTGCCGCCCCTCTTCTTCAGAGCACCCTGCCCAGCCTCCGAGGGCTCCCTGTTGCTGCATCATCTTATTTACCAGTGCTGATAAGTCCACGGTTGAAGACCTCCCAGATGGGATTTCCTCTTTAGGGACATTATCATGAAGTGGCAACATGGCATCCCTACCTGACATGGCACCAAGGAGAACCAGGAGGAAAACTGCTCCCTGCATCTTGGAGAGTTCACCTCTGTACATATTTCCAGCGTATTACCCAGTAGCTGAGTCCCGCCCGACACCTGGAGTTTATTCCAGTTGCCACTCATCTTCTGCTCCTGGTTTTGTTGCCATGTGAGAAATCAAACAGAGGCTTTGCTGGTAACTCAGGGAGACTCCCAACACCACAGGACTATTTGTTCTTGGATTACCTGCTTCTGTGACCTCATGGTACCCAAGAGGCCAACCAGCCAGCCCTGGTAAGCTCACAGAGTCCATCTTAGAGGTCCGCAAGAGCAAAGAAAGCAGAGGCCCGGAGACGGTGGTAAAAGCTGGACATAAGCATCGACATCCATGATGGTCTCCACCGCCCTGGAGCCAGGCATCTCGTCATTCCCAGAGGCAGGGGTGGGAGGGGTGGGAATTTTTCTGTGGCCCTGAATTGAGGAGCAGGGCTCAGAGCTGGGATCAGACCCCTCCACAAGGCAGACTGGCTGTGATAGACCCTGCCATCAGCACCAGCCCTCTCGCCCTCAGTGAAGTCTGGGGTAGTGAGGCTTCCACCCACTGGGGCGTGATGTGGCCCCAGGCCGGCCTGGAAGGCCTGGTGAGTGAAACACGGCTGGGCTGGGGTCCAGCCTCCACTCAGAGAAGAGCAATGGCGGCTCAGAGGGAGGGTATGGATGGAGAGGCCCGACCCCTCAACGTGGTGCTGTAGAATAGTAGCTGACACAGTGGAAGGCAGCCAGACTTGGACCCTCCCTCCTGCTCCTCACGCGCGAGAAGTGCCCACTGCTGGAGGGGGGCCCAGGAGCCCAAGGCTGGTAGCAGGAGTGGGGGCGCCCCACCAGTGAACCAGCATTTGGCTCCTCAGAGGTCACCACTGGCCAGTTAGCCGGTCTGAGCCAGAGGAAGGCCCATCAAGAGAGACAGCAATGAGGGCCCACTAGGTAGACACACCAGTCGCTTCCCCTCTGCCTCCTCCCCGTTCTTCTGCCCCCACACAAAGGCAGGAGGCCTGACTACACCCCACGTCCAGGTCCCAGGCTCTCGGAGTCCCAGTTCCCGCTGCCCCAGCCTTGAAATGAGACTTCAGTCCAGTGTGAGATGGAAATAAGAGCGTGATGGACTATGAAGAGTTAGAAGCGCCCTGGAAGCAAGATCTTAAGGGAGATTTCACGGAGGCCAACAGACCATCTCAGTTCACCTGCCCCTGACCTGAGACTGCTAAATAAGCTGGTGCAGCCCCTCCCGGGCACAAGGAGGGGTTGTGGGACTCAGAGGGTTGAGTGACCTGCCCCCGGTCAAGCTGGCACCCGCATCTCCTGCGTCCCCAACCGAGGGCAGCAAGGCTGGCCTCCTTCCTCACCACCGCATCCAAACCTGCGTCAAGCCCCTTCCAGCCCCCACAGTGCCACCTGCAGCCCCCTTTCCCAATTTTGCGACCACCAGTCTGGCTTAAGGTCCTGACCTCTGACCAGGACGATCTCAGTAGCATCTGGGGCGTCCTACAGGAAACCCTCAGGTTCGTTTCCCACAAGTACAATTTTGGTCACTCACTCTCCTACTTAAAATAACAAGCAACCTTTCCCTTAGGAAAAGATGACTTCCTGGGTAAGGCAAGAAGATTCGAATGTCAGCCTGTAAGTTTCTGTCTGAAATAGGTAGATGGCAAAAAAAACTTCTCAGTTTTGCTGTGTGACCTTAGGCAAATTACCTAACCTTCCAGAATCTCAGTTCCACGTCTATAACGGATAGACAGAGAGGATAATGCCTGTTGTGCAGTATTCTTGCAAGCAGCACATGAGATAATGAAGGGAAAGAAACTGGCCCTCGGATGTGCTCCAGGGATACTATTTTTTCCTAATAGGACATCTCTAGGACCACGGCAAAGGTGAAAAGCTGGTAGGTACCCCATAAACGTGGGCTGAAAACATAAGAATAAATAGTTGCCAAGTTACCAATTCTCACCTCTCAGTTTTTCCTGTCATATTAGTTACTGTAAATAATCCATTTCATTATGCATAATTAAAGTTGAAGTGATGGCTCCGATTAAGTTATGGAAAACGTCAGAATAATTAAGCCTTTGAATTAAAGAAACTCACATCTGTTTAATTTTCAGCCTGACTGCACAGCCGTTCTTCATACTGCTGTTTTCACCAGGATATGGAGAACCTCCACTTAACTTCCCCCTTTCTGGTCCCGGGATCGTAAGGGTCACATTTTGGAATTTGTTGCGGGTTTGTTCTCCTGTAATTACAGCTTCTGTTTTTAGCGCTGAGGTTGTTTCGGCCATCATGACGTTCTGTGGTCCTTGCATCGGCTCCCGTCTTCTTCTCGAAGCATGTGGTCCTGGCACCAGGGACCCAGCTGGACCAGAGTCACGTGGAGGCAGGACCCTGAGTCCCCTTGCTCTCCTGTCCCCGACTGAGGGCAGGCTGAGTCCTCCTGGTCCCACCAGAGTGGCAGCCAGGTGAGATGAAAGAGAGGGATTTGAAGGGGGCTGGAACGTTTGGGGCATGCACTCCTCCAGCTCCCCAGAAAGACCTGGGGAGCCTTCTCCCACATCGTGTCTGGCCCAGCAGTGGTTCAGGTCCTTCAAGTATTTAAAGCAGCTTTCCTGGGATCCAACTACTGCAAGCCTCTAATTGGCCAGCAAGGAAGTTATGCTCTCAAGATTCGTTGACTTAGAATTTGGAACATGCTTACCTACACATTAATTGTTCACAGCCCGGAAACCCTTGCATAAGCTATGAAGTCCTGGAAACATTATAGACTTGAGATGTGGAGAAGCACCGCTGGGGGTTTTAAACGTTGAGCTCCCTCAGCCGTTCCACGGGCACTGGGGGCCGGCCGGGGACCCCAGTCACCTTTATATCACTGGGCAGGTTCTGTCCACGACTCTCATTCACCCAGTCCTGGACTATGGGCTTCCGGGATCCAAACTCGGGGACACGGCAGCCAGGCTCCACCGTCCCAGCACCTCTGCATGGCGGGACCCCCTTAGGAAGAGAGCCCTCGAGGCCAACCCCACACCCCCAGTGACGGTGGCCATGCTGATGGCCTGCAGCTCCTTGTAGAAGTGGGCACCCACCGGCCTTCCCAGGTCTTCCTTGTGGGCCGGAACACCAGCAGGCACACCTCTTTCAAACCACACTCCCTCAACTCTCTCACTGTCAGTGTCCAGCCAGTCTCAACAAGCTTTTCCAGGCCAGAGAAGCTCTTCTACTTCCTTGCTTCCCAACCGCTTTGCATGTCACCCCGTGCCAGATGCGTAGTCAGAAAAGTTGTGACCTTCCCGAAATGGCTTTATACTCCCTTGCCCTGTGCCATCCTCTCCTCTCCCCAAACACCTGTCCAGGGGGAGCCCCTCAGCTTTTGGGCAAGGAAAGAAAGAGGTGCTACGGCCCTCCTCACGTCCAGAAGCCCAGCAGCACTCACTCCTGGCCCAGAGCGGCATGGGAGGGGCTCCTCGGAGGCAGAGGCCCCGTAGAAGCGGAAGAAGAATTTCCCTCTACTCTTCTGAGCTCTTGGCTGAGACCCCGATAACAAAAGACAGATTGACAAGAGAAAAACAGACAGAAGTTTATTAATGTATATACCTCGTGGATACATGGGAGATAACTGGGGAAAAAATGGATAACTCCCCCGGGGGGGGGGGGGGCTCAGAATTCAGGATTAAATACCATTTTAATAAGAAAAGGGGAAGGGAGATGTTCATGATCTTAGGGGAAGGAAATAGATTTTTCAGCAAGATGAATGGGCCCTTAAAAGAACAGATGAGAGGTATGATAGTTTGTGACCTACTTTGTCTGGTGTGGGGTTGACTTCTGGACTCCTCTCCCGTGATAAGAGTCAATCTTCCATTGTCGATGGAACTCCTAGAGAGAGGATTTATGACAACTGAGTTTCTTTGCAGGATCTGTCTTCAGGCAGATGAGGAGAATTCAAAGAAAGCCTTTCCCTGTATTTGAGGTTTTTCAAGCTCAGCTCAAAATGATCAGTATGCCAGAGCAGCATTTCCTGGGGTGGAGTCATATTTTGGGGTGACAGAGTCTGTCACCCTGCAGCCCTCAGGACCCACTGGTAGGGCCCCTGCCCTGGCTCCAGGGGTGGAAGAGTGAATGAGCTTGACTTCCCTTAGATTAGCCCTACCTGGCTCCGAGGGACAGAACACTGGTCAGCGTGGGCTGGGCGCAGCTCTCACCTCCAGGGAACTCCAGGTCATTCTTATTTTCTATAACAGCATTACTGAGATGTAATTCACATACCATCCAGGGCACCCATTTAATATGTGCAATTCGGTGGTTTTTAAGTATATTCACAGAGTGGTGCAACCATTGCCATAATGAATTTGAGGACACTTCCAACACCCCACGCCCCTTAGCACGCACTCTCCACGTTTCACCAGCTTCCTTCCACCACTCCAGCAACCAGTCATCCACGTTCCGCCTCTATAGACTTTCCCATTCTGGATGTTTCATTTTAATGGAATCATATGATACGTGGCCTTTCGGACAGACTTCTTTCACTTTGCAAAATGTTTTCAAGACTCACCCCTGTTGTAGCGTGAATCTTTACTTCGTTTCTTACGATTGCTGAATCGTATTCCACGGTACGGCTGTCCCACCTTTAATTTGTCCGTTCATCAGCGATCAACATTTGGGGTTTTTTTTCCTACTTTTTGGCTATGGTGAATCATGCTATGAGCATTCCTGTCTAAATTTTTGCAGGGACATATGTTCTCATTTCTCTTCGATACATACCCAGGAGTATAACTGATGGATCACTCTCTGTTTTTTTCTTCCTGTGGTTGGTTTTTACATGTTTATAGGGGGTCTCTTCCCTGTCCACAGGGGGAGGTGTTCACAGATTCTCCATCCACTCCAAGCTTGGACGCGGGGGATCCTAGGGTGGCTGGCATGTGGGGCACATTCCCCTCATCTCAGAAGGGCCCTGGGTGGTTCGGTCGATCATGATGGCATGATCAGTGTGGGGGCTGAGAAGGGGCAGAATTA